ATTTTAGTATAATATTATTATGCTACTGCCAAATATTCTCAAACCAATATATATATTTCAAGATCTATTAAAATATAGTATAAAAAAAAAAACTTACCTTGTATATCATTTAATATTTCCTGTGATCCTAAATAGCAGTTACCCCGTTGAAGCATTTCAGATTTCCAATCTCCATCGGTAGTAAACCGATATGCCATCAGACATCTATTCTTACCGGCAACTATCAATAAATCTGGGTTAACAAAACTCATATATAACACTGGACTGTAAACATCTAAAATGTCTTTAATTTCTTTAGTTCTTAGTGCATATTTAGTGACAATTCCTGTACTCAGTCCATAGATAATGTATTGATTGCACGGAGATATTTTAACTGCTGTTATTTGATCATCACTTTTAGGTGATATTTCCGTAATGAGTTTTCTACCGCGCATTATCTGTCAATAGTAAAACAAATGGTATAAGAATTAATCTATATATAAAAGAAAGTTGTGTTAGTTACACTATTTATAACTCAAGAACGGCTTTACCGATATTGCTGAAGATAGAAGAAGAACAACAACAACAACGGAAAGACTCAATGTTGATGAAATGTGGCATAGGTGTACGACATAGTTTGGAAGAACTCATAGGCAACTTATAATTTTTTTTCAAAACCCGCGCGGACGGTGTCGCAGTCGGCAGCTAGTAAAGCAATAAGTTTCAATAAGAAATAAAAAAACGTCGCAAAATAAATAAATAAAATGTATTAGCAATTGTTTGGAAATTAATTACTTGACAAATAATTTTTAGTTCGAATCTTCACCATCGTTACAAACCACTATCATCAGCGCAAAATGGCAAAAATCAAATAGGCACAAAATCCCTCGTCGTATAGCCAGTCTATTTATAGATATGTGTGCTTTTACCTGTATATTATTTTTATCATCAACAACAGCCAGCAAAGGTTGTATGCCTCCATCATTATTTCCATTACAAATTCCCTTCAGATTCAAAGGTTTTAGGTTATGTCGGTCCAAACTCATAGTTTTCTTTGCTAACTTCTTCTCTATTTCTTTATGAGTGACGAATGATTTGTGTCGTCGTGGTGTGGTATCTTGACTCTGAGTGCCACTGTTGGGCGTGGTGTTGGGAGTCTGTGGGGACACAGCGCCCATGAAACTCACGTCGAAGGTTGTTGTTAGACGAACTTTGCTGTTGATATTAATAAATGTGAATATATTGAAAACCTACTAATATTATAAATCCAAATGTTTCGATGTATGTATGGAGGGATAGATATTTGTTAGAAGATATCTCCAAAACAGCTGCATGGATCTCGCTGAAATTTGGCATAGATGTATACATCGCCATAGGCTACTTAACAATCTTTTTTTTTAATTTGGCTCAGTTGCACAAAAGTACAGGAAGAGAAGTTTTCAAGAAAGTGTTGTATTAAAAATACATTGGTATTTTGAATCAATACGCAAAAAGTACGCGCATGTTCGTGTTTACACGGAATAGTATTTAAGACTTAAAATTCTCATTATAAATTTTCAAGAAACAAAATCATATATTGACATCTGAACCTACCTATTCCTATGTGTATTCTGCGAGACAAAAGAAGCGTCTAAGAACCAGACTTTGGCAGTATTCTCGACACTGCCTGTGCCTGTCAGCAGCACATCGGAGCCCGGCATGAAGTCATCCCACATCATAACCTCACTTACAGCCATTGACGTTACATTGCTACAAGTTACCATAAACACAATCAATATTTTATTTACATAAAACTTATTAATATTAAAACCATGGATATTGTCAAACTTATAAAGTAAATTTGAGAAAACTGATAACATGTTTTTGTTGTTTTTTCTGGAACACCAAAAAAACTTATGTCACACATAGTATAGACACTTGATTATCTTTCTTCTTTCTAATATTATAAATGCGAATGTTTAGATGGATGTTTGTTGGAAGGTATCTCCGGAACGGCTAAACAGATCTTGATGGAATTTAGCACAGATGTAGAACATAGTCTGGAAGAACACATAGGCTACTCATTAAGTTTTTTTTTAACTCCACGCGGAAGGAATCGCAAGCGACAGCTCGTATAACTACACAAACTATTACATACCCTCTCCTATTATCCAGATCAAATACTCTTGTATTGGTCTTCAAATCAACACATATGACACGGCTATCATCAGTTGCAACGAATAGTAAGGTCCCTGATTTATTGACCTCCGCTGCGACAAAGGTCACATTCCCTTTGACCTCTTCACTGGTCAACACTCGCCTACAGATGTATACATTACATACATTCTGATACGACCCTGTATTGATTTTGTATTCATGTTCTGTTATATTTGTCTCTGATAGGGTTATTATTCTGTTGCTACCTGGAAAGTAATTTCGATGTTTATGTCATACTAATATTATAAATGCGAACGTTTAGATGGATGGATGGATGTTTGTTTGTAGGTATCTCCAGAACTGCTTCACAGATCTTGATGAAATTTGGGACAGATGTAGAACATCGTCTGCAAGAGCACATAGGCTATTCATTAAATTTTTGTTAATTCCGTGCGTACGGAGTGGCGTGGAGAGAAAGCTAGTTTTCATATAATTAAATTATATAAAAACTAGCTTTCGCTTAGCTGATATTCATAGTAAAGTAAATATGATGTGTTTAATTATGGCCAGGGTTAATGATACAAAATTTATGTTAGTAAATTTACACAAACAACTTGCAACCCAAAGTTTTTACAGCCATAACACATTGTCTTCTTAGATTTTTTTAGCAAAATAAGAGCTACAAAAATATGTTCTGGCATATGTATGCAAATGTAACAGCAGTGGAAGCCTATGCTAATATTTTACACACAACAAAGGAATGACCCATTCTTCCAAGTTAATGAAAAAGTCACAAGAACAAGTCAAAGATCATAAAATAATGTTTTGATTTCTAATGGATTGAAGAAATTAAAGTAACTGAAATCTGAGATATGAAAATGGATCGCATTGTTGTCCCAAAAATGGATCCTTGAAGATGAAAACAGATATAATACATATCTCAACTCTTACCTCTAAACAAGACTTTAGGCTAAAAAATAAACAAATCTAGTTCAGTTCCGAATACCATAATTTGGTCGCTTTTTAACTTTATAACACATTCAGTGCCGGAATTTCATTTGAGTTTATATGGAAATCATACTAGTATTGAATGTGTTAAAGAATAATTTTATAATCAAAAAGACTTACCTGGTATCGTCAAAATATTCAGCAGCAGTTCAGATTCTTCGAATGACATAACTTTTTCTTTACTAATCACATCGATAACATCCAATGAATGCACACCACTAGTTGCCACAATCACTTGTTTGTCATTATTACATGGAACACAACACAATATCTCACGATCCCTATCAAAGTTGTCTAACACTTTTAACACTTTGCCACTGGGGTCATATAAAATGATCATTTTGGATGTATGAGTGATCAATGTCTCTTCGTTGTTAGCCCATCTACAGTTCAGGAACGGACCCAGTTTAGGTGGTATACTGACTATGTTTGCATAGTTATTGTTGTATGACTCCTCTGTTTCTGAAAAAAAAAAACAATAATTAAGGTAACTATTCTTTAAATTTAAATTACGCATTAAATAATGAACTTTTTAATATGCCTTTCAAAACATGCATTTAAATGTAGTAAAAAAATCATATTGACTGCTTTTTAATATTTTTTTAAAAACAACGCTTTTTTCTATCTTTGGATTTAATTTCTAAGATATTGAAGATATTATAGTTTTTTTTACTAAATTATTTTAAGACAATAACATTTAATATAATCATAGTACCATGCATTGAATTTGGCATGTTGGGCACAAGCGTTACTTCTGTCCGAACTGTCAAATTAAGTGACTGGCAACTGTATTATAATAATACCTATAATAAAAACATAAAAACTTTACCTTCTTCAATGACGTCATCAGTTTCATCATGTCCTATATCGTCGATGTAGAATATAGTAATAAACCCGCTGCAGTCGAGCGCGGCCACCACTGGTGGGTTCATAGGACACGTACCGAGCCATTTGATAGCAAAACCCTTCCCCGGCAACTCCTTTTCCATTATATTTGTTGATATGTTGAAAAACTGAAAATTTATATAAAAAAGTATTATATTCCGGGCACGTACAGTTTCGTACAATGACATCTTATCAAAATGACAGTGGTAACAAACATTTTTGTGTAATATGGAGTTTAAAAACAAAATAAAAGTAAATTGAATATAAAAAACGACTGTCCTACTGTACTGGAATCATGTAAATCAGGCATTATTTCGCTAGTTGTTCGCTACATTACTCTAGGTCAAGGAATAAGTGTTAACTGACAAAATCTCTTAAGACGGTCGATCTATGCGTGCAAGCGAGACACATATATAATTTACATTGGAGCGATAGAGATGGGTAATATTGTTTAATCAAACCTTAATAAGACCAGAATCAGTTCCAATAAGCACGTGGTCTCCGAGGAAACACACCGCAGTGACGATCTCTGTCACGTCGATCGTGGTGTGTTTTATTTCTTCCACATTCTGTTCATGTCTGTTATTTACAAAATATATATATCTATTAAAAATCAAATGATTCCACTGTGGTAGCACATGTACGAAAAAAAATCCTATCTCACTTATTATTTGTGAGTAAAATATAGATAACAAAAAGTTCTTATAGGTACAACAGTGGAAATTTACATTTAAAAGCAACAGTTTCTATAGTGGAAAAGAGGACTAAGCCAAAATTAAAATCATAACTCATAATTTGTTTTTATAGGGACTTCGGTTCTTCTGAACATGTCAGTCCCATAGAAAACAACTCTAAAAAATATCGGCAAACTAAAATTACTTACAAGAACTCAAAATAAAGCTCATTTTTGGCACACCTCTCCTGAGCTATGACGGATGCTTTAGTGTACAGGATGCCTTTACTTTCGTGCTGCAGGATGCTCTGCACTATGTCCGTGTATGGGTAACGGTAGAGGTCTGTGCCGTGCGTGATCAGATACGCCTTTATACTGTACAGCAGGTCTTTGTCTAATGTCTGCAATGTAACATGTCACCGAACGATTGAGAATCTCGCTCGTTTGTAATTTGCCTAGACAATATACAAACGCACGGCGATAAATTAAATTCAGCTGTGTCATTTTGAACTATCAAAAATCCATCCAATTAGTTTAAGGAAAAATATTTCGTGAGTGTAATTATAATTAGTAATTAAGCAACTGCTATGAAGCTTATGGAGTAACTAACTGATGACTCCATGACACGACTATGACTTCGTCCGCGCCGATTTAAAAAAAAAAAACTTAATTAGTATCTTATGTGTTCTTCCAAACTATGTTTAACATCTATGCCAAATTTCAGCGAGATTCGTGCTGCCATTTTGGATATACTTTCTAACAAACATCAATTTAAACTTTCGCATTTATAATATTAGTAAGAAGATAAATAAATATGTATACTTACATCTTCCGCGATATAAGTTTCGTATTTTTGCAAATCTAAAATAACATCAGCGGATCCAGTCAATCTGACTTTATTGCCTAGAAATTTGAGATCGAGAAATAATTTATTAAACAAGCTCCATTTATTTCCTAAATTCTTCGTTTTAAGTATATGATGTCCGATATAAAATGCAATATAGCCATCATCTTCTATATCTAAAGGTGGGTTACTTATGTTATCATAATGATAACTTTTTAAGAAATTTTCATGTAATTTCTTAACATCTTCTTCATCCCAACAAGTTCTTAGATAATCCATAATAAATACGTGAACTTCGTAAATATAATTCTGTTGTTCTCGATCGTAAAATTCTATTAACAATGATTTGCTTCGAAGTTGTTTTATTATCGATTCAACTTCGGTCAGTTCTCTGTTCCATAGTTTGGCGAGTACTTTTGCAGATACTTTGACATTGTCAGGTAAAACTGTTAGCTTTTTGAATAGGCTCAATATATCTGGTTGTAGTAGATTTATACAGACTTCGACAGTTCTCTGTGGATTTTCATGATGTCTTGATAAACTGTAAGAAAAATAAAAATTTACATATTGGAAAATATAAACGCAAATCTTATTAGAGAAAAACATAAATAAATAGTTTATTTGATAAGTTTTGTTCTCCGTTCGTTTGAGACACTTAGTAAGATTTTAGATGTACAGTCAGGGCAGAAAATCTTCTGTCTTTGTTGTGGTTGTGCAAAGACAATATCTTTGAAGTAACAAACTTGTTATTTACTGTACATGGGTGTGCCAACAGATGATCGAGGTTCAATCTAAAGATCTTTTACATTTTTCAATTCTCTTGAAAGATGGATGAGGGGGGCAGCTGCCACTCCTTACCCCCCTGGGGCCTATACTACTATACTCTAATTTACACCTAATACTTACAAAAAGAAAGCTCTCTTCTCCAGTTTGTTTAGATAAGAGTTCCTGTACTTATGATCGTGTTTGAATCGTTCCCTATTCTCCGACAGCTGGGCTCCGATGAGTGCGATATGGAAGGGGCTGCCTGCACATATCTCGTACAACTTCCTCGCCTCTCTGGGCAACTGTGATACCGGTTGATCGAGACATAGGGAGAACAGTTCCAATGTTTCTTGTTCAGTAAAGTTGTTTTCCACCTGTAAATTTAATTACTTCTATTTAAAAAATATATAATGCAAAAATATTAAAAAGGATATACTATGCCGTCGAGTGTAATGATAAGAATTTAGTAGGAAGATTGACGTCGTGGAAATCCTGGAGTAACTTATGACTTACCTTGACTATTTGCGCTTGAAAATTCAAAACTACATCAGTATCTGGCGTTGTTATTAATATCTTGCATCCTATATCGAAGGCTCTCAAACATTTCTTTTCATTAACCTCATCCAGCACTAACAAACATTCCTTTAAAGACTGGCTTTGGAACTGCGAGATAAGTCGATCTTTCATATCCTCCCACGACCAGTCGTAGAAGGAATGGCTGTCGGCATTAGAGCCCGTGCTAGACATGGATATTGATGACGTCATGTAGGAATTGTGACTGGACATTGTAGTCGCTTTACGGTATAATCTGAAATTAATAGAATAAAAGTTGTGTAATTTGACCACTGCGAACTGACACGACTGTACCTGAATTTCTTTGGTATTAAATTATTCTATTCGTTACATAATTAATTTCGATATTATAATATTTTTTTAATGTGCTCAATAACCTTAGAATGTTTATTTTTAAATCAAAATTAAAAAAAAAAAAAACTTGACATTTTATAACGATACAAAAAAGATAGATTACCTCGCTCATAAATATATTTTACAACATGCATTTAAAAGTACACGCAACAAAAAAAAAGAATAATTATAAAAATGACTCACTTGTTCTGTAGAGCGGTGATATCATCTTCGGTCTTACAGTTACCGAAGTTTAACCAAAAGACTGCACCGTTAAAGTTATTGGTGATGAGATCTGGATTGTTACGTAGCACGCTTATTGCAACTGTCGTCTTCCCGCAGCCCGGCATGCCGTGAAGTGCTAATATTTTATGCCGAGTTAGCAATTTTAATTTATTAGCCACCTCTTGCTCCTGTAATTTATAAAAAAATTACAAAGGTGTAGATTAGCATCGAATTAAAGTTGTTTCGGCAATACATCTTTTGGCAGGGGCAATGCCGAGCCCAAAGAATGAGTCAACAGTTTTTGGCATTCTATTAACACAGAAAGTTTATTACGATAATATCATTGATTGTCCGTATTCATAAGAAAAGGTTGTTTTTGCCTAAATTTCATACGTAATCAAGGCAATTGCTTCTCGATTTACTGCATATTTTGACACAAGATTTTTGCACAGTTTGGACATATGTATATTGTAATACTAATAGATAACTGCAAAACATTGTCGTTGAAATAGAAAACACAACTATCAAGGGGATCTAAACAATCCGCGAGCCCCTCTGGAGGAAGTACAGATTTAATATAAATTAGTATCCGAGTTTTGAACTGATCAAAGCAAAGTATCTTGATGATAGTGAATGAAAAACAATTTAAAAAAAAATCGAAGACCACAATTAAATAATGACTATCTTAAGCTTGACACCATTAGTTGCATTAATTACATTTATCCAGACCAACCCATTGTCTTTTCTCTCAGCGTTTCAACAATCTATTTATAGAAGACTTACCACTGCATTCCTTCTGACGTAGTGATCTGGTAACCTCGGCACATCTCCCCTACTGAGACCATCTTCAAAGCTGTCGTTCAGCATGGCCTCATTGCTTTCCTCGGTGAACTTCTTGTACAACCACTGCCAGTCCTTAGCTAAGCTGTCTACAAACGCTTCATAGCTTCTGTTTGTACCATTCTGAAGTAGTGAGTCGATTAAGTACCTGGTACGTTCCACTCGACTCGACTGGAATGTTAAAACAACTATTGTGTTATTCTTGCATTTAACAATAGTCGATTTCACGTAACTTATTAAACTCGACTTTTATATACTACAGAATATTATGAGGTTATAGACTAACAGAAACACTCGTAGTGTTAGCTCGATGAATGAAGGTTTCGGAACACACATTGACAAATTTTAATTCGTAGTATATTTTTTCGTATATACCCTTTCTTATTTACCATAAAAGCATTACATAATTGCATAATATGTATCTAATAGGTGTCTATTTATACTATAAATTAAATGAATCAATAGTATTTTTATACATACTTATTGATTTATTTTTAACATATTGTTTAGCTTTGCTTGCATTCTCGTTATCAAAATATGTCGGTAGTGGGATGTATCATACATTTTATCATACTATGTGATATGATGTATTCAAAACGTGGGAACTAATTACAGAAACTGTTATATATTGTAGACAATTCAGTAATAAATAAATCAAACAACCACTGTGACTGATATGTCCCTAGTTTTAGACATAATTAGAATCCTTTGGCGTCAATGGCGCGCTTACATTACTCAGTCAAGTGACAGAATGAATAGTGAGGGGGGCATAAACGTCGACATTTTAGTAAGGCTAGTGTTGTGCCAGTACATCGGCACAGTGTCGGATTTTCTTCCTAACACTAGGAACAAAAGTCCCGATAACAATAAACATCAGATGGTCATTGCTTTAAAAATCCAATCCTAACCTACGTCAACATGTTTTTTAGAGAAACATAGTGTCAAAAAACAGGTCCGTAAACAAAACTATATTGGACAATCTATTTCTGCTGTGAGGTTAATCTGACTCAAACCTAACTGCAAGACCATGAGTAATAATTGCATATGGAGCATTGCTGATGTTAAACAGTTGAAAATAAAAGCCTTCGAAGGTATATGAACTCCAAAAGTCAATTATACGTAAGGGCAAATTGTTGAATCGGTTTAATTAATTCTTATTAGTATGTATTAGGAGAAACGAAATGTGATTCGGAACAATATTAGCAAAGAAGAAAATATAAAGTTATTATACTTTTTCGCATTAGGCCAATTTTCATGGGATCTTAGAAAAACGAGTAAAAAGACTTGTTCTAGTATCAGAGAAATAATTGTTGTATTTTGCCTGTACTTAAAATGGTTAGTATTAGTTAAAAAAAAGGATATAGGCGCTTACCAACTTGTAGATATTATCGAAGTCCTCGTTGGAGATGGCGTCTTTTGTGAACAACTCGTCAAGGATGTAGGTTACGTCCAGGTCCCTTACCACGTCCTGCTGGTGGTGTTGCAGCAACACCCTGTACTTGTTGTCCATGACTTTTTATACATCTGTAATACAAAATGGCGGTAATCATTATGAAGCGCATTGTAACAGTTTTTAAGTGCCATTTCACAAAATTTCGATGCTCGAGCTTAAGGAAAATTGAATAAAATGCCTCTATTGCACGAACGTGTGCGTGCGAACGATGAGAAGGCCTAAACATTCTTGATCCTTTTCATAGTACTTATCCTGTTAAGAAATTAATTTTTGAAAACTTTGCCATAATTTTTATGTTATAATCATTAATCATATCTAATTCTATGTTCTATACTGTCTGGTAATAAATAATATATTAATAAAATATCTTGTAATATAAGTATTAAATCGCTGTGTTCAACCAGTATCGACGCAATAAACGGAGAGCCCGAATATTGATAGGCAGGAAAATCATCACAGATCTTACCTCGACGGCGCTCGCGTCCACAAATCACATTTACTCTGAATCTAACAAATTCGTATAAGAATGTGAAATGGCTCTTTATGAAATGGCAGGAACATATCAACGTGAAAATTGACAGTTAAATGTGGATAAGAAATTATTGTCAAATGGCCACTATGTAACCACTACTATATAACCAATGGGCGACTAGTTCTAGGAAAATCATGTGATAATTTAGTCGATTTGATTGTAAAACTACTAAACGTAAATTAAAAAATATATATTGATAAAATATAGGCAACAATATTATAATGTTGTTGTTAATTATTTTTTTCTAAGCTAATAAGATGACATTTTGTTTTTATGGGACGATTATGCTATGATTCGTAAACTTATAAATAGGTTTTTGTTTAGGAGTCATATTAATTGTAAATACATACGTTTTGTTTGTTTTTATCACAGCTTTATAGATTATGCGTACGTAATTCAACCAACGCGTCTAAATCCTCATAATTTTTTGTTACTTTACACTGATTAAGTAGAAGCCGTAACTAACTCTAAGTCACAATGGGCACTTAATTACTTTCACATCTCTTTATTTACGTATTTCTTTGATAATTAAATCAAAGAATCTAAATAACCTTTGCATCACAAATTACATTACGAAATTAGAACTCTCTGGAAACCGGTAATCAACGCGTCCGAAACTATTGAAGAGCAAAATTCTAATGGAGATATGAAAAAAAACCTATACATAGTGATCACTTAGCATACGACCTTGCCGATTTGTGCGCTACCTACACGACAAACAGATACGCAAACAACCAAAATTAAGACGATAAATTGTATGCCAATGACCGCTCTATGATTGTCAAGGCCATGATGACTTAGATTTTTGAATTACTCAATACAAAATAATCATCATCCTGTAGTTGTATTCTTTATGTATTACATACACATCTATCCATTGTCATATCTAAATTTACTTCTTTCTCACGAACATAGCTTACAACTCTTTCACAGTTCAGCCATACTTTCTTCTATATGACATTGCTTATCAATGCAAACCTAACTTTACATTACAATATATCTTCTGTGTACATATGGGTTTTTAACAAATTTTTGTACCATGGCAATCTCTGTTTTTTTTTTAAGTTATCAAGAATTTCTGTTATGATTCATTTGTTTTATTAAATGAATGATAAAAATAAATTTTGTTAATCTTTTCTTATACGGAAAGGATGTGTAGGGGAAGTGGCCTTATTTAAAAGCTACAGAATACAATAGTAGTCAATAAATACCTATCTAAAACATTTATACTTCTCTTCATTAAGCATAAAACTGATATAAGTTGAACCTGGATTAGCGAGAATTATTTGCATGTCACAATATAGAACCTCCATAAGTGAGAAACTCAGCTCGGAGAGAAACATCTAGTAGCCTCAACTGTATAACAATTGTAACCTAATAAAGTTCATACCATACGCATCAATAGTCATTGGATTGGCAATTTTCCTAAGATATGTTCTGATCTTGACACTAATTACATTTACTTTAAGTCAATATGTCAAGGTCACCTTACCTACTAATTAACTAGAATTGAGGTCATGTAGTGGTAGTTGTGGTCACAAAGATAACACTGATAATGACTACTTATAAAATAGAGCAAAATACAACAATTATGTTGAATTGTTGGTCATAATTGTCTATTCAACTAAATTTGCCATTCAAGTCTGTGGCAGTTACAGACATAGTTATACCTTTCTCGCTTTTCTTTTGTTTCTTTGTCTAACCGTGGGTTTCATAGATGAAAATCTCTGTATAAGTCATATTGTCATCTCTCTAATTTTTTGTCATAAAACAAAGATAACATGTTTTAAATGCGGATTTTGTACTTGAATAACCACAGTAAGAGTCCTGATGTGATGTACATTTAATATTATAATTTTATGAAATTATTTGTCTATTTAAGTATTTTGAATGCAAGAAGAAATTCTCAAATACAATGTATAATACAAGATATTGATAACAAAAAGGATAAATATTTCTTGTTAAGTGAAAACCGCTGTGTATGATCACATATTACACAAAAGGTTTTTGATTTAATGAGTAAACAACTCACTGCTGCATCAGCAGGTTTATAACCTTAAAAATTATACTAACATCTGGCCAAAGCAGCAGGAGTATCCTGCATGTTATGCTGTGAGAATCATTGTGGGAAGTCCAATGTCCTGCTTCAACTACTTTAGATTTAACTGACAGCAATATTAACATGATCAAGTACAGTCATACTGAATCCTTTCTAAAAAATATTATTAGCAAAGAAAGTAGAACACCCTTAAAAATTTACTGAAGAAAAGATAAAAGATAGGACATTACGGTTCAATCAGAAAGAAAAGGCAATATAATAGATTCTTGTAGCTTAAATTTAGTTTTATCATTTAACAATTGATCAAAGTTATCTATGAAGATATTGTAGTATAATAATAGCATTCATTATTTCTTTTCGGATCTCGAACTAATCTTTTGTATGTCGTGTCATGCCATGAAGAAAGGTTTAAACTACGAGCTAACGTAATTATTTCATTATTTTGATCGTTTATCTGTATAATAGAGATTCATTATTGTCAGTTTCTTACATAAAACATACATTTTCATATAGAATAATGAAAGTAAAACACGAGTTTTAAACCAAAGCAAAATGCATCCGATACTGGTAAATTTTAACTTACCCCTTTCAGGAACTAATAAAGTTTGATAATAATCATGGATTTAGTAATATTTTAGAGTATTTGATGATTATTTAATGAACAAAAAAAGGAACGCTAATTTACTAGAACACAAAAAACTGAAGAAAATAGCACGCACTGTACATCCACACGTTCATTACAGGGACAAAACACTAGATTTGTTTGTTTGATGCATTTTGATGCATTAGAAGTGCAGCAGTCGTTTTATGTCAAAGTAACGTTCTTGATTGGTTCATATTAAAAATTAAAACAATCCTTTCATTTTCATTGGCTGGCGTTTTGCCTTACTCTATGAACTCGCATAAGCTTACATACTCGAAGCTTGCTCGATAGTATTCTCACTATATTTGATGTTACTATGGATTTGCACGATCAGAAACGTCCAATACTACAATCGAGTTTAAAGTGAGTTGTAGTGTAATGGTTACGGAATTAAAAGCATAGATTAACAAACCATAGACGATAAGTTGCAACCATAGACGTAATATTTTTTTTAAATTATAAAATTTAATTCTTTTTTTCCTGTATACAACTAACAATATTATCAATAAGCTAATGATTATTTGTAATACTTATTTATACTTATGTATTTTTTTATAATATAGTATATTTGTATTTTGTAAGGTATTTGAAAATAAAACTATGTACTACGGTTTATAAAATGCTTAGTGCACGGAAATTCGACTACTTAAAATGTGGTTCGTAATATAATAAGGTATTTTTTATACCAAATAAGAAACGTGTAAATTATGTAAACAGACAAAACACACTGCACATTTTTTTATATTTTCATTTGAAAATTGTGAGTGAAGTGAAGAAAAAAATAAGTGAATAGCTAATGTTAGGTAAGAAGTAAAAAAAAGTTAGTGTTTTCCGTCGGATATAAACATTGTTTACAATAAATATATGGCGTGTAATCGGCGATCATCTTCAAGTATAATATACAAATTGTAATAACAGCTAAGAAAAAACGTAAGTAGTCATTTAATGTCGAATAAAGATGTTAATAATGAATAGAAAAGTAATTAACTTAACAGCATGACACCTACGTATTTTTACTTTACCACAACTTGCAATAGCCCCCATTGCGCAGCATCTAATGGCAGGCGCTTTCGTGCTATAGGTTCTTCGCAACAATATCGTTACTTACTTCTTGATAAGTAATAGATTTGTAAGAAAATTTAATTCACTTGCTTCTAAGCTGAAGAAAAATTGTTTGAGTTAATTTTTATTTTTATTTAAAGTTAAAACCGAGTGCTGTGTAAAAAACCTCACTTGTTTTATAGTCAAACTAGGTATTTGTTCATTTGATCTCTATTGATTTTATTTTCGTTTACTAATAATAAAAATTTGTAGGATTCAGCTTTTCCAATGAAACGTTCATTTCAACTTCCTTTAAAGTCAAGTTAGGATATTTTTTTCTGCAACCAGGTGTCGCCATAACACAATTTTAAGTCCGCCTAAGGCGACCCACAAAGGGGACCACACAACACAATGAGAACCATTTACCGTCAAAACCATCGCTATTGTGATTGTCAAAACAAGATCGGTTACAATAAATCTTATTAAAGATTTGGCCACACTCGCGCCATTCAAGAACTTCTTTAATCGGAGGCCGAATAATACTTGTTTACAGTAACCAAGTATATTGCAATATCTTTTGTTACTCTGTGCATCTGCCCTACCTGAATAGGTGACCTAATATTTGTGCTTTACTTATACAAAGACAGTTTTAGACCCGAGGAATCTTACTAATATTATAAATGTTGAATGTTTAGATGGACGGATGGTTGTTTGGTTGAAAGTATCTCCAGAACGGCTGAACGGATCTCAGCGAAATTTGGCATACATATAGAACAAAGTCTAGAAGAACTAATAGTCTAGCACTTATGTATTTTTTTAAATCCGCGCAGACGAACGACGATATAAAAAAATGATTAAAAAATATATTTCAACTGTTTCGTTCAGCTAAGTTTATTTGTTTCAGTGTTCTTTAACATTGTATTTTTTATTAAATTAATTTTTAAAATCTTTTCATCAATCAAAGCCCGAAAAAGTTTACCTAATACTTCGCAACAATGTTCAGTGAGCTAATAATTATTCAAACAAATGAAGTCAGTAGCTTGGAGCAGCCGATTGGAAAATTCTTAAGATACTTTTTTTTATATTGAAAAGTTTTAAATCTTCGTTCATTCGATAAAAAAATAAACCTTTGAAAATATTCAAGGCAATTAATGAATTTTTGAGTCGGCAAAGTTTCATAACTTTACAAATAGCGAAGCAAGCGTAGATAAGACTTTAAAGGCCTCGAAAGTTTCGTAATTATGAAAGATTAAAGATGAAACGGACTGTTTAGTACAATCTGTGAGGATAAACCGTAATCGGAATTCAATTGGTAATATTTTAATTAAGATATCCTATTTGATCTGTTTATCTGATTGGTATTTAGCAAGAAACAAATGAACGTACGATAAACTACTTTACTAGCACCCTGGGCGAGATTTCTTAGATGAGATTTTTTTTTATCATGCCTGGGGGGTCGCAGAATTGTCGTACCCCTTTCCGTCCAGCTGTCCCTGGGCAGTCGCTCAACCGCGCCCTAAACTAACTCAGGCTCTGGGTCTAGACTTATAAGCAATATGTGTGTTAGGTAAACAATACTTAACAAAAGATTTGTAAAAAGATCACTTGTGTTTTTGTCTGACGAATGCATTTACGGTGTACTATGAACTATGTAGAAATAAGAATGTTCGTGGTAATATAATCAATATATTGTATTCAGTTTATTCAAAGCAATAAAAATATCGTGCGAACATTATGCTAGTTTCACACAAGGGTAGAACAGTGCGGAAATGCATTAGGACAGTGGTATGCTGCTATTATTATAGCGCAAAAAGCTGCTCCTAAACGAAATAACATTCGAGTAATTATTATTATTTATTTCGACACAATTTTGGTAATATTCTAATGACATCGCTAATCGTGATCTTGCCTTGGCTCAGTCACTCTCTACTGTTCTCACTTTTACCTTTGTGACAAACTAGCATTAGGGCTGTGACTGTTTCGAGGTGAGGTCGTGACGTAGGGCCTGTGGTACGGGCGGGACGGGTGCTGTAATCTCACGCGTCGCCACTTACAAATGTACCACTCATTGATAGCAGAGCATTGCTGCTGAGTTATGGTAATGTACCGGATGATACTCCGCTCCCCGCGACCTGGTACACTCCGAAACGTTGAAATACGGTTATCTTAACGACATTTAAACATAAAGATGTCCACTCAAAGCGTCACTTAAAAGCGATTGTTGTTAAATTTAATGGCGCATTAAATAGAATAAAACCGAGTCACATAATTACGATATTAGGCACTAGGAGTATTAGATCCGTTGTTCTTACTAACGAGGGCTATATTTTATTACATCCAGGGTCGTAAACTGTTAGAGTTCTTAAGGTAAGTGCATGTTACTCTAGCAGGCTTATGTCATAAAAAATTTAAGCAGACTTCCTATACATGCTTTTAAGAATCGAGTTTTAAACTAAAGAAACGATTTTGAAAAGCCACTGAAGAGGGACAGCCCTGAGTGACAATTAATCTTTGGTACAAAACAGCTTTGTACGTTTGGTGTAAGAATATGAAAGAATATATTTGAAAGTGGTGAATTTTATGCCTGCCCCAGAAGATGCATATATAAAGTAATATGCGTAAAATTATAATGAATTTATTCAAAGTTCAAGTTCTTGTAGAAAAAAACTCGTATTATAATAATGATCAGTTATTATGCAGACCACTGCAGGGCAAATGCCTCGTTTTATTACGAAGTGAGATCCACTATGTTATTGAAAGTCCTTTAATGAGTCATTAGTATGAATATTGCTAATGTAAGTAATAATCGGTGAGAAAATATAGTTTAAATATTACTTTAAATAAAATAAGAATGCGTCGAAAATACTCCATATGATAGTAGTATCGTTATTGCGAAACGTAACGACCGAATTTTGCAAAACGAACACGTCCATGATTGGTCATTTCAGTATATCTCTGTTAGACGCCACTCGAATCCCGAATGAATTACGTGAATTGTTTATAACCCCTGGATTTTGTATGGATCGCCGGATAAAAAACTATCGAATTAATGCTATCTTTTTCACGTTTAAATGGCCTATTCCGCTGTTTCGAATGCTACTGTCGGTTAACATAAATGTCCCGAATTTTAATTTACGAGCTGGAATTTTTTTCAATAAGCAATATATTTTACGGAAAGCGAAAATAAATGTGCGAGAGATTCAATATTTGTAGCGTTACGTTAAAGGTTAGCAGGTTGACTTTCTTACTGGTATATGATACTTACTTTTAAATTTTTATACTCAGATTCGCTGACAATATTTATTAAAAAAAAACTATTAATTTTTTTAGATGGATATAGGTACGTATTCTCTTTCTATGCGTTGTTTAAAGGTACAAGGCAACGCTTCTGCTATTTCGGATGTCTATGAGCAACGGTCGCTTCGCTATTATGGCCATCCATCTAGGACGCTTGCTCGTTTTCCACCATTTAATGTAAATAAGAGCGATATAAAGATACACTAATAGTCAATATTCTGATACACTGTAAACTGTAAAGTCATAGAAGAATGTTTAGCCGCACGTAAACCGTATGATTTAAACGGATTTAAAATCACATACGTTAACTATTACTAGGGATATTCCAACACGTTCGCCATAAACGGGGCTTAAACGATTTAATTTTCGACTTTCCCCCAAAATATATCGACAACAACCGCCAGTACCTAATCACGACCCACAGACAAGATAATCCTCTAATTTATCGACCATAGACAACCGACGCTGTCATCAATCGAACTGATATTGTGGTCAAACAGATTTATAAAGTTAGAGGCTAATGAAATTATATTGAATGGTCATAAATAAAGTAATGACAAAGGCGACAGACACCTCGGGGACAATTATGGCTATTTACAATGGGCAATTGGGTTAAATGCTCCGCGGTCACAAAAGTGACCACCCTTAGTGTTTGACAGCTTGTGGTTCGTTGAATACCATTTTATGTCTGAAAGGTATTACGTCCATTTTTACCACTATTATGATTACTTTATTTTCAAATGAATTAGATGGTTACTAATTAAGAACGTCACTGAATGTATCTTGAAGTTTGACTAAACTCTTGGAAGAAATAATATTAATTTAATATAAGTATATTAATATATAATACTAATTCCAACATTTGGGGCCATAAAC